TGCATATAGATAATTAAAAAGCTTATGAATGTGTATATATATATATATATATTAATTCATTCAGAAATCAGCTTTCATTTCAGTCAATCATTCTTCAACTCAGATTTAGATATTCTCCACCATCACAGTTTCCTGGAAGTTTCACTTAATACCAGTGGAACCTGATTCCCTCAAAGCTTTTTAATTATCTATGTGCAAATGTTAAAGAAAGCTTTTTCAAAATCAAACTTTTGGATTTGAAAAAATTAGCAAATGTAATTTCGTATCGAATCAATAAAAAAAAAATAAACGAAAACGTACATAAATTTATCGCGTAAAATTTAATCGTACTATACAATAAATATTTTTAAATTAATACACAGTCTCAAAAGTTATTTTTTTTATAATAAAATTTTAAAAAATTAAAATAACGCGTTGCGATATCTGAGACATATTATTATCATTTTTATGCATTCTCATTAAAAATATATATATATATATATTATAACTAGGATATATATCTTACTACCATAATAATTTTTGTATGACTAATCATAATAATTAATTTTTATTATTTTTAAATAAAAAAATAAGTTAATTAACCCGATACTTAAATTTTTTTTGACACACATACTAAATTTATTGTAAATTTTTTTTTTTAAATAAAAAATATAATACGATTGTTTATTAAAGTTCTTCATTTCTACGCAATTTGTTAACAGTACTAAATTTTGTCTCAATTATTCTTCGTTGAAACTGCTGTTTTTTATTCACATCCAATGACAATCTCAAACCCAACCCACCAAAATTGAATTAACTTCTTAATCTCATCCTAAATTACGAGATAGATATCTCGTATTTTTTTTTTAAGAATTTTGCATCGTATAAATTCTAATCTCTTGACATACTTTCAAAAATCGTCATAAGAAATACGCAATAGATATAAACATTAGCTGTTATTTTCTAACCTAGTCTCGTGCGTATTTTTTATACGATTGGTGCATTACGACCAATTGGGACAACATTAAACCCTACAATTAATTATATATCGACATGTAAAAAAAAATCACTTTGTATAAATTGGAACCGAAAAATCAATTATTGAAACATATTATTATCATTCTTATGCATTCTCGTTAGAAATATATATATATATATATTATAAGTAGGATATCTTAGTACCATAAATTTATATCACTATAATTATCTTTATTTTTGTATGGACACATCAATGTGGAATCAGAATAATAAAAATGATTCTCTATATTGTCAATATCAATGGAATGTCAAATGACCTTCTCTGTTTGTAGTGCCCAAGAGAATAAAATTCCAAAGAGAGCTTCCTAGAATGTGTTTTTGATTATTTGTTAAGTAAGAAAAACAAAGAGGGGGGGGCGGGGGGGCATTTTGGTAATTTCACTTCTTAAAAGGCTAGTCCACATATTATATCCTAAAGATTAAGAAGGGGGAATGATACCCTTAAAAGAAGAAAGGTGACCTAATTTGTAGGACCCTTCAATGTGATTTTCCCAAATTAACCTTGTTAACCTAAATTAGTTAGCTTAATTAGTCGAGTTAGTATGAAAATACAAATGGGATTTGAAAGGTACCCAATTTGTAGGACTCTTCGATGTGATTTTCTCAAATTAACCTTGTTAACCCAAATTAGTTAGCTTAATTAGTCGAGTTAGTATGAAAATACAAATGGGATTTGAAAGGTGCCCCAATTTGTAGGACCATTCGATGTGATTTTTCCTAATTAACCTTGTTAACCCAAATTAGTTAGCTTAATTAGTCGAGTTAGTATGAAAATACAAATGAGATTTGAAAGGTTTTCCAATTTGTTGGACTCTTCAATGTGATTTTCCCTAATTAAACTTGTTAACCCAAATTAATTAGCTTAATTAGTCCAAGTTAGTATGAAAATACAAATGGAACTTGAAAGGTGCCCCAATTTGTAGTCCCAAATTAACCTTGTTAACCCAAATTAGTTAGCTTACTTAGTCAAGCTAGTATGAAAATACAAATGGGATTTGAAAGGTGCCCCAATTTGTAGGACCCTTCAATGTGATTTTCCCAAATTAACCTTGTTAACCCAAATTAGTTAGCTTAATTAGTCAAGTTAGTGTGAAAATACAAATGGGATTTTGAAAGGTGCCCCAATTTGTAGTCCCAAATTAACCTTGTTAACCCAAATTAGTTAGCTTAATTAGTCCAAGTTAGTATGAAAATACAAATGGGATTTGAAAGGTGCCCCAATTTGTTGGACTCTTCAATGTGATTTTCCCTAATTAACCTTGTTAACCCAAATTAATTAGCTTAATTAGTCCAAGTTAGTATGAAAATACAAATGGGACTTGAAAGGTGCCCCAATTTGTAGTCCCAAATTAACCTTGTTAACCCAAATTAATTAGCTCAATTAGTCCAAGTTAGTATGAAAATACAAATGGGATTTGAAAGATGCCCCAATTTGTAGGACCCTTCAATGTGATTTTCCCTAATTAACCTTGTTAACCCAAATTAATTAGCTTAATTAGTCAAGTTAATATGAAAATACAAATGGGATTTGAAAGGTGCCCAAATTTGTTGGACCCACCAATGTGATTCCCCCTAATTAACCTTGTTAACCCAAATTAATTAGCTTAATTAGTCCAAGTTAGTATGAAAATACAAATGAGATTTGAAAGATGCCCCAATTTGTAGGACCCTTCAATGTGATTTTCCCTAATTAACCTTGTTAACCCAAATTAATTAGCTTAATTAGTCCAAGTTAGTATGAAAATACAAATGGGATTTGAAA